ACGTGCTCGGATATAAATCGAATATTAAATATAATATTTGATATTTGTTTATATTTGAATTATACATCTACCGCAGAGATATATGTAAGGGATAATGTATAGCATACAGGTCATTATCGGAAAATAAGTACCGACAGGGCGAAGCGGACCCCGACGCGCATACATTATCCCGCTTATTATACTGCTTTGTACCAACTTAACACACAAAATAAACTTCAGATCACTTTTATGAATGCCAAAAGTTTATTTAATGACAACAAATAAAGTAGTCCCAAAAAGTTTTCCCGTTGCTCGGCAACCGCGGGCAGGCAGTGTGGCTATGCTAGCAACAGTTAGGCTGGCAACTTCCAAACTAGAACTCTCTGGAACTGCATGAAAACTCAACAAAGAATTCTGAACATCAGCGGTGAGTGACCCAAACATAAACTAAACCTAGATCCATAATTCGATCCTCTGCAAATGTGTCCGAAAATGTGCCGTATCTTAAAATGTGCCGGTATCTACTTCCGGGTTTTTCGGGATCGCCTTTTCTCGCATTACATCAGTGTTTTTGTCATGAAAACGTAAACGGAAAATTCTGAAAACTTCCGTGCACTTGTATTAAGACTGGATATGTATAATTCACTCTCCGATAAACATTTCATTGCGTTGATTGATTGGCATTTGCGTTTATTGAGCGGCCAGAACTACTTCCGGGTTTTTCACGATCGCTTTTTGACGCAGAGAAATAGTATTTTTGTCATGAAGACAAGACCAGAAAATTCTGAAAATTTCCGTGCACGTGTGTGAAGAATGTATATGTATAAGTATTCTCCGATTAACATTTAAGTGTGTTGATTGAGCGTGGCTAGCTCAGGAGTGGCCGGAACTACTTGCGGAGTTATCCACGCATTTGAAATACAAGCAGAGAGTGCGTTGCCAAAGGGCAGCGGTCATTATTGTTTTGAGAGGTCCGTTATAGAAAATAATGACCGGTAGAACGTTTTGAAATTACATTCAAATCAATGGAGCGTTCTACTGCTGCTCTGAGGAGCCGTATAATAAATATCGTTATGGTTTTATCGCCCAGCCCTATGGTTAGTACTCTCGTAAGCAGAGAGAGCGCTCACCACTCTTGGTCTGAACAACAGAACAGTCCCCTGCGCAAACTTCCTTCGGGTGCTCCGGTTTCCCCTATAAATAAAACAGCGCTGTGGCAACCACTGATCCTGACAGGTTAGATAAACATACAGACATAATAAGTAATCATGAACAAGAGCATTTTCAGAAATAATGCATAATGACAGTATGTTGAACAGAACAGGCTCCATGGGGCGTCTAATCAGCATTTCACTTCTTCTGCTCAAATTCCAGATTATCCCACTAAATGCATCACCGTCTGCGTTGCCCCTCCTCTCCCCCATCCACGGTCTATATCTGACCCTCTCACCTCCCCGCAAGGTTCATTGTTGAGGATAAAAATGAAAAAAAAAAGGCAGACAGTGCACTTATTATCTTTCTCATAGAGCAACTGGGGAATTAGCCATTTGTTGCAAGCTGCCATTTTTCGGGAAAATAAATCAAATCTCCTACGCATTACTGGTGTTTGGCCTATTACTTCTGATCAGGCAGGATAATTAAAAGAGATAATGTATTTTGCTTTCACCGCAAATATGTCCGATTGGGTTTTCCACAGGATGATGAGTGCATCCTGTCTGGGAAAACATTTTAGCAGATTCAGCTGGGGCCAGAGTCAGGGGCTGTATCAAATGAATGAATAATGCATTTGAAACGTCCTATTTTGATAATCGCCATTTATTCAATAGTAGGCGTCATATTAACTAGGGGTGTAGATTTAAAAAGGCGTGTCTCACTTTTATTGCTTATAACAGAGTCAATATTTGGAGATCTAAAAAGTCCACATATTCGTATAAATGAACTGATTTTGACCATGATGAGGAGAGGTTTTATGACTCTTTTCAACTTTCTATAATAATCATACTGGACAGGATTGAGTAAGCTTTAACCATAAGAATTATACATGTTAATTTTAGAAACATAAAAATAAGTTATAAACAATAAATACTGAGAAAAAGACACAGAAGACAGAAATATATGTTGCCTCTCTGCAAGACAATACACACAAAAACCAGTTGGGTTGATGTTGAGCAGCTACTTTTAGCTTGTATTCTATAGAGCTTCTGTCGTTCACCCGATTAATCAGTTATGGAGTCAACAACAAAAATCATGAAAATCAATAATTGAGCAATAGTGATCAATCAGAAAGCCATGTCTTAAATGCCTTACAGTTCCACAATAGAACATAGTGCATGATGTTTAAAGTCTATAGTTAAAGCTAATACCTCTGTGCTTATCTACAACCTGCACACCAACTGTCTTTGTCTTTCTATTGCAGGTGGCAAGGCAGAGGACTGTAATTTTGTGGTTATATACAGTGTAATGGAAGGTCAGAGTGTAAACCATTGTGAGGTAAATCTCCTTCTTCAAAGTGAAACACTAAACTAGGGCTAAACAACTGCAATTGAATTGACTTGAAAAAACAAGGTTGGTTTTATATAACGCTTTTCAGGACACTCTTCTTTCACTCCATAAAAGGTGGTGATAAAATACTAGTGTAGCCACAGCTGCCCTGGGGCACATTGACTGAAGCGAGGAAACCAGTGCACCATCGGCCCCTCTGACCACAAACAGGCACTTTACAGAGGCAGCCGTCCTACCGAGGCACCTGGTGTTCCCAGAGGTCTCCCATCACATCCCTGCCCTGCACAGCTTCAAAAGTCTGACGAAATCTGGCTTTCGCAAAAACGTTTGTTGCAGAAAAGGGACTAAAGATAGGTTTATAAGAATATTAGGATATTTGTGTCTCTTGATTTAATGATATTTGTCAGTATTTGTTCTGTCAATAAGAAGCCATCCATCCATCCATCCATTTTCTTCCCCTTAATCCATTTCTGGGTCGGGGGGGTGGCCAGAGCTGCACCCAGTCCACAGAGCACCAGCCCCTCACTGATCCTTCAGTGGGGGCTTCAGGTAAAGTGGGGTTAAGTGTCTTGCCCAAGGACACAACGACAGCAGTCATCAGTGGGAGTTGTGAAGTAGGTCTTGAGGTGGGCTCGAACCCACAACCTTCAGGCTCAAAGGCCAATGCTCTACCAACTGAGCTACTGTCGAAATTTGTTCTGTCAATAAGAAGCATTTTATATTATTATTTTGAATGAGACATATCTCAATCTCATCTTTATCATTCATATAGCTGAAACTGTCAAAATATAACAACTATTTAGTTCAAGTGGTTTAATACATTTAGAAAATATTGTTGGGTAGAACTCTCGAACTATCGAAAATATGTGGGACTTGTCTATGAGGTCATGGATTCATATGTACTCTTCAAATTAACTTTTGCTAAAATGGTGCAGCTATGCTAATACACCAAACACTAGAATAATCCAAGTCAGACTAAACCTGCGTGGTACACTCACTGACCGCATCACTGCATCACTGACATTCCAGGGAAATGCAGAGGTGGATCTGTCTCCCACACAAGTGCACTGAGCGGACACAGAGGGTTTACATGGACACACACAAAATGGTAAAATCAGTTACTAACATTAAGTCTGTGGTTTCAAGAGGTGACAAAGCTTGGAATTCCATGTGAAATGCCAAACAGATCCGCAGGGAGTCATGACTAAGCCGGTCATGATAATCACTCTAGTGACTCAGCTCTAACGAGAAAAAAAATCTGGAATAATTTACTTAATGTGTATTGTAAGTGACCTGGCCCACAAACTGAAATATCTCTGACTCAACATAGAGTAGAACGACAAACAGTTTATACACACAGGACGAAATAACGATGTGATTGATATATTCTAAGGAATAGTTTGAAAGCGGTATTCAGACAATATTGTGGCAAATTGGGCTAAAACATGGTTCTAAGGTGCGTTAGCTAAGGTTAAAGATTTGCAATGTACAAACTAAACATGTTTTACCGTAATTTTTTCAGTTCGTTTTGACAAATTCATTAAAACATAAAACAACAACGGAGAGAACAAGTCAAGCTGACATGGCAGGTGGGTCTTTTCTCCAGGGTTGTTCCAGTTTTCTGTGTGAATAGTGAATGTGAAAGCCTGAAGAACTACTATGTGGAAGCTCCTACTGTATATACATGTATGACCTCAAGTCGCAATTATGCTACATTGGCGCCGAAAAGGGTGAGCAATAGCTTTACACCAACTTGTATCTTATTATTTTCAATACATTTTTATGGTATGGTAATAGGATGAGATTTTAGCAGTCTATCCAAACTCTAGGTTATTTTTGTCATTGAGATTGCATCGTCTAATCAGTGCCACAAAGTAGTTTCAATAAGATTATTATTATTAAGGCACAGACATCTTTAAAAAACCCAGGTTCAATTCGAAAGCAATGGAACAAACTGTTACAGTGACAGGAATTAGTCTATGGAATAAACTTCAAAAAGAAGTGAAAGAGTCAGGAACTCTCTTGGAGTTCAACAAACACATAAAAGCTGCAATGTTAAAGAAGTATGAAAATTAGACTTGGACAGGAATAGTGTGAGATATTTGATTGAATATGATGAACAAACAAACATGAATATGGTTTGTTTCTTTTTTGACCATTTGTAAACATTTTAGGAATATGACAGTTCGGTATTTTATTGTATATATTGTAAATAATTAAATATATAATACAAAAACATCAGAAAATACTGTAAATATGTATATGATTGTAACCATAAGTATGTATATATATATATATATATATTTATATATGCACATTTTTTTAAAAGACAGCATGTAAAGTGTGAAGCAACAAAAGGGGCAGATATTATAAGACTTGTTCTTCTCCTCTGCTCCGTTTCATTCATGCTATGTTGGATTGGCGGTCTTGTGGTGATTGCATGATGTCACTTTTGAATGAATGAAATAAATAATAAAATAAAATAAAATAAATTATTCAAATATTCTCTAAATGTATTATCATTGCAACAGGTTTTGCCACAACAAACTGCCCCAGTGAAATCTAAGCTCATTTCCCTTCCCACTCAGGAGTGAAAACCAGCACTGCAGGTCTTTGCGTGGGCTCCAGTGTTCTCTGCACTCAGGCCCACCTGCACTCAACAACAACAACAAGACAAAAGACTACACTCACCTAGGTGGTCTCCATGGAAACTGTTGTCATGCGAGGCTCTACCGTGGGGCATGAGGTCATGGTGGGAGGGAGGGGGCCAGATCTGTCCCGTCTTGCGCACACTGACAATGGTGGCCTCCGACATGACCACAGGACCCCCGTGCTGCCTGTGATGATGCCTCTTCTGGGATTGCGGCGTGGGCGGGCTGCTGCTGTCGAAAGAGTGCTGGGAGTTCTGAGAGTTCTGCGAAGGCGAGCGGCTCTTTTCCCTAAAGGGCCGACGAAAGGCTGTGGTGGGGCTGGGGGATACGTGGCTGGACTGTCCCGAGGAGAAGTCTTCCTCGCTGGACGTCAGGTTCTCATTGGAGCTGCAGTCCGGAGTGTAGCCGCCGCCCCCTCCTACGTCCTCGAAGCTTCCAGGGGAGTATGATCGGCGGGGCCAGGTAAGCAGGTGGTCTTCTTGAGTACTTTGGTCCCTCATGGAAACACCGCCCACACCTACACCACCTCTGCCATCACTGCCACCTTCACCCATCATAACTCCACCTACATAGACACTCGAGTAGGCTTGGAAATCTGTGGGCTGCCAGGGCGGGGGTGGCGGTTTACCCCCATTTGCTCTTCCTAAATGTCTCGCAGTGGGTTCCCCATCCTCCCCTTCGGCATCATATCCACAAGTGCTTTCTGTAGATCGTCCTCTGTAAACAGGTTTGGGACGAAGATCTCCAGCAGCGGTGGCCAAGTTGCCTGGTAAGGAATGTAAGGACCTTTTCCTTTCCATCTGCAAGGCCTGGGTGCCCAATGAGCTAATCTTATCAGACACCTCTCTCTCGTTGACCCTTACCAGACCCCTGTCATGGTGGAACTCCATGTTGGAATAAAACGGAGGAGGCGGTGGCTTATCCTGAATCTTTGCAACGTCTCCAGCGGTGTGAGAGTTGGCGCGTTTGATTCGCTCAAAGTTGGATCGAAGAGCAGCGACTCCCAACCCCATGCCCAGCTTATCCTTCGGGTCCATGAGCAGTTCCTTATCTGGAGGTGGGAGCACTGGTCTTCTTGGTGAGACTGTGATTCCGCCTCTTTGTTTAGATGGAGAAAGCCCGTCTAAGTTGTCACAAGAGGTGGATTCAACCTGTGTGGGCACGTCGAAGGCTGACTCCAGTCCGTCTCCATGGGATGCTGATTTTCTGGCTGGTGGGGGCCGAGGTTTGGCCCTGCTAGTTCCATCACTTACAGGCTGGAAGCGGCTCCTCTCCATTGGTCCCACAGTGCTGTAACCTCCTCCTCCTACACCCATACCGACCATCCCTGTCTCCTGCACATGTGGCTGTTGGGACTGGCATTCTGCTCCCTGGTTAGTGGCTGCGTCCATGCCCTCACCCACAGGGGTCTTTCGAAAACCCCATCTCTGCTTGTCATAACTCTTTCGTTCTTTTGCCAGAAGAGTTTGAAGGTAGATCATCCGGAAGCGCTCTTTATTTACTTCTTGTTCTAGTCTCCGAATAGATGCTTTACACCTCTCCAGTTCTTGCTCAATGCCACCAACAGACCTCAGCTCCATCTTGGGGGGCTCTGACTCTGGGAACTGCGCCTTCCACGCTTCAATGAAACCCACCGGCTCCACCATGTTGTGCCAAATCTTTTTCCAGTGACCGACCTTGGTTCGCTCACTGAGGGGATGGTGTTAAAGGCGCAGTTTGTCCCTTTTGGACTCCAGTGACTACAAAATCACCAATGTACAACTCCGATGTCCAGGCTCTGCTTACAAGAGTCCTTTGAATAACCCTTTTACAAATATAGAACCTAATTGCTTACACTTGCCGTTTGCGCAGTCGCAACAATGCATCCCATTCTCCTCCAGAGAAAGCAGCTGCTGTTCAGTCAGATAAATGGAAAGGACTGCGGGCGGCCCAAAAGGGTAAAAAATATTAGAATTTTGGTAGTCCTTTTCAATCATTATTCCGTGAAAAATAAAGCAAAATAAATAATCCTCCAGTATGTTTAGCACCACCAGTACAAAAAAAAGCGATCCAGTTGTTTTACTTGCTTACGATTTGAGCACAGAAATCCGGGTTTTAGCTTTCACGTTTGTCCATTCACAAGACATGAATCCCAGCTGCCACTGCCCCAGAAGGATGGACTTTGTACCAGCAGCAGCAGCAGCAGTAAGGGAGAAATCAAAGCGCACAACACGGAGCAACGACGACAGCATCCGAGTTTGTGACGGGAGAAACCCACGGAGTCCGGATCAGCACCATTCACGGAGCCTTTTCTTTATCCCAGACCTCCCCCTGGTTTCGGAGCGGCATTGACCTCACTTTCCTTTTTCGCGGATTATTATTTAGCACATTTCTTCAGTCGCGATGGAGCTGCTGTGTGCGCTCTCATCTTCAAGCAGCCACACTGAAGAGACGCGCAAGAATGGGAGGGACCAAGAGTGACAAGAGGGTGCTGGTTAAAGAGACAGCGGCGTGGGGGCTGCGAGCATGTGCACCCCGGGTTTATTTCATTGGGGGTGTTTGCATGTACAAATATATAGTTTTATTTGGGAATTTATTCTAGAACAGTTTTTTTTCACTCTTTCCACTATTTAAGCCCATATGGCGGTTCTGACGGGTGTTCTGTTCAGGTAGATAGATCCCACACATGTTTGGCTCAATACTGCCCTTCCGAGGACAAATCTGTTACTGCATCACATTTTCAACAGAGGTGATGTCATCCCCATAGAGCTCAATAAAGCTGGGGTACCTAACTTTCAGACCACACAAAAACACGTGTGGGTTAACCACATGTATGTAACACAATCCATCTAACTTTCAAATGTCTATTTTTATGTTATTCACATTTTAAAATGTTGGGCTTTTTCTAAGCGTTGGTTAGTGTTAGAGTGAAAAGTGGAATTGAAATATAAGAATACAATGTTTGATGATAGGTTGACATGTTACCTTTACAAGAATTTCTGTTTGATTTATGAAACAAAAGATTTTCCAGCTTAAATGACCAAGGTTTCATGTTTAAATCTTGCAACTTTGTATCTGATCTTTAAAATTGCTATTGTTAATTCATCCATCCATCCATCCATTTTCTTCCGCTTTATCCGTTGCCGGGTCGCGGGGGCAGCAGTCTAAGCAGAGACGCCCAGACTTCCCTATCCACACACACTTCCTCCAGCTCGTCCGGGGGGACCCCAAGGCGTTCCCAGGCCAGCTGAGAGACATAGTCCCTCCAGCGTGTCCTGGGTCTTCCGCGGGGCCTCCTCCCGGTGGGACGTGCCCGGAACACCTCCCCAGGGAGGCGTCCAGGAAGCATCCGGAACAGATGCCCGAGCCACCTCAACTGGTTCCTCTCGACGTGGAGAAGCAGCGGTTCTACTCCGAGCTCCTCCCGTGTGACTGAGCTCCTCACCCTATCTCTAAGGGAGCGCCCAGCCACTCTGCGGAGGAAGCTCATTTTGACCGCTTGTATCCGCAATCTCGTTCTTTCGGTCATTACCAAAAGCTCATGACCATAGGTGAGGGAGGGAACGAAGATTGACCGGTAAATCGAGAGCTTTGCCTTTCGGCTCAGCTCCCTCTTCACCACAACGGTCCGATACAGCGACCGCATCACTGCGCACGCTGCACCGATCCGCCTGTCAATCTCACGCTCCATTCTTCCCTCACTCGTGAACAAGACCCCGAGATACTTGAACTCCTCCACTTGAGGAAGGACCTCTCCACCCACCTGCAGAGGGCAAGGCACCTTTTTCCGGTCGAGCACCATGGCCTCGGATTTGGAGGTGCTGATTCTCATCCCAGCCGCTTCACACTCGGCTGCAAACCGCCCCAGTGCATGCTGCAGGTCCTGGTTCGTTGGAGCCAACAGGACAACATCGTCCGCAAACAGCAGAGATGAAATCCTGTGGTCTCCGAACCGGACCCCCTCCGACCCCTGGCTGCGCCTAGATATTCTGTCCATAAATACAGTGAACAGAACCGGTGACAAAGGGCAGCCCTGTCGGAGGCCAACATTCACCGGGAACAGGTCTGACTTACTGCCGGCAATGCGAACACAGCTCTGGTTCCGGTCATACAGGGATCGGATGGCCCTCAGCAGAGGACCTCCGACCCCGTACTCCCGGAGAACCCCCCAAAGGACACCCCGGGGAACACAGTCGAACGCCTTCTCCAAATCCACAAAGCACATGTGGACAGGTTGGGCGAACTCCCATGAACCCTCGAGTATCCGATGGAGAGTATAGAGCTGGTCCAGTGTTCCGCGACCGGGACGAAAACCACACTGCTCCTCCTGGATCCGAGATTCGACCATCGGCCGTAACCTCCTCTCCAGTACCTTGGAGTAGACCTTACCGGGGAGGCTGAGGAGTGTGATCCCACGATAATTGGAACACACCCTCCGGTCCCCCTTCTTGTAGAGAGGGACCACCACCCCGGTCTGCCACTCCATTGGCACTGCTCCCGACCGCCACGCGATGTTGCAGAGACGTGTCAGCCAAGACAGTCCTACAACATCCAGAGACTTTAGATAATCAGGGCGGATCTCATCCACACCCGGAGCCTTGCCACCATGGAGGCTACCAACCACCTTGGTGACCTCAGCCAGGGAGATGGATGTACCCGCCCCAACATCCTCAGCCTCTGCCTCTGTAACAGAGGACGTGACGGGGGGATTGAGGAGAACCTCAAAGTATTCCTTCCACCGCCCGACAATATCCCCAGTCGAGGTCAGCAGCTCTCCACCCGCACCGTACATGGTGTTGGCAAAGAACTGCTTCCCCCTCCTGAGGCGCCGGATGGTTTGCCAGAATCTCTTCGAGGCCGACCGATAGTCATGCTCCATGGACTCTCCAAACTCCTCCCAGACCCGGGATTTTGCCTCTGCAACAGCCCGGGCCGCGGCACGCTTGGCCTGCCGGTACTGGACAGCTGCCTCAGGAGTCCCCCGAACCATCATGGCTCGATAGGACTCCTTCTTCAGCCTGACAGCATCCCTTACTGCCGGTGTCCACCACCGGGTTCGGGGGTTGCCGCCGGGACCAGCACCAGAGACCTTGCGACCACAGCTACGAGCCGCCGCATCGGCGATTGAGGCAGAGAACATGGTCCACTCGGACTCCATGTCCCCCTCCTCCACCGGGACCTGGGAGCTATTGTTAATTCAATTAGATTAAATCAATGTATTCTTGTAAAGCCCTAAATCACAATGGTCGTTATCTCTGAAGATTTTACACAATTCTTGAATTCGCCAACTCAGACACAAGAATCAAACAGTTGCCCCTGTTCCTTGGAGGTAATATCCGGGGGAATCCTGAGGCGTTCCCAGGCCAGCTGAGCGACATAGACCCTACAGTGTGTCCTGGGTCTTCCCCGGGGTCTCCTTCTGGTGGTACATGCTCAGAGCACTTACCCAGGGGGGTGTCCAGGAGGCATCTGAAACAGATGTCTCAGACATTTGATCTGGCTTATCTTGACATGGAAAAACAGCGGTGCTACTCCGGTCTCTTCCTGAGTGATTGAGCTCCTCATCCTATTTCTTAGGGAGGGATGCAGAAGATACTAATTTCGACTACTTGTATCTGAGATCTTGTCCTTTCGGTCATTGCCCAAAGTTCCTGTTCAGAGGTCAGGTTGATCATGAGAGGCTCTCTCGTGAACAAGACCCTGAGATACTTGAACACCTCTATGTGAGGAAGGACCTCTGCACCTGGAGAGGGCGAGGCACCTTTTTCTGGTCTAACACCAGCGTCGGTTTTGAAGGTGCTAATCTTCATCTCCGATGCCAACCGTGCCAGTGCATGTTGAAGGCCCTGGTTTGGAGCCAACAGAACAACATTGTCTGCAAACAGCATAGATTGACACACACATCACCACATGAGAGTTTGTATCACAGTCATTGTACAGTCATTGTGTGTATGAACACATGAGAAACACATGCTGACGGAGCTGTCCATGGTATCATCCACACTACTGCAGTGGAGCACCTGGAGATCATCCTGATCATGACTCTGCAGTGAAGAGCCCATTTGGACTCTGGACCAATAACATGGTCTGGTCGGCTGGACTCTTAGGGTCCAGTTAGGACTGTCCTTTGAATGCAGACATATTGTTACTTACATGAGATGAATGAACTTGTTTTCATTACAGAAGCTCAAGGTCAGTGTTGGAAAAGTCATGGTTTTCTGCAACTACAACCGTTGTACTTCTAGCTCCTACCACATGGTCCAAACAACACTCATCCACACATCGGTAAGTCCATATCGGAGATAAAGAATATTCAGTCTTACGATGGTATGGTGAGACCAGGCTAGTCCTGTCTTTATCTGCACATTAGAATGTGACACTAAACTTGTATTTGACCAATTGTATGATCTATCCTTGACTGTGACCTGTGGGCGCTGCAGTCCACATCAGAGGGAGCAGTGTCTATAGTCAAAGCACTTGTAAACTTTATAGTGAAATTGTGATGAAAATAAATCTACAAATGAGAGCGCCTGACTGGAGGCTGAGGGAGAAGTGGCTCCAATGAAACTCAGCCCCTCTGAATACAAGGCGTCCAGCGTGTTGGACAGGAGGAAGATGTCTTAACGTCTCCAGGTGGCTGAGAGCTCCTTCCTCCAGTGGTGGAGTTCAATTATTCTCGGACTGGCTCACAGCGAGGGAAGGAGCAGCGTCCGCAGTGAAGCTGATTATTGTATTCAATAATCACATATAATAATTGAATCCTTCGGGTTCTACCTGAGAGGGGTTGGTGAGTTACTGATTAAAGACTTCTGCACGAGAGTGTATCGTTTTATACGTTGTCTTGAGCTTAGTTAACTGAGAGTTATATTTATTGTATCCGTAATACAATTTGTAATGGTTTAGTTTCAGATGAAAGGCAAGGGCCTATAGGCTATAAAACATCCATCCATCCATCTTCTTCCCCTTAATCCATTTCTGGGTCGGGGGGGGTGGCAGTCAGAGCTGCACCCAGTACACAGAGCACCAGCCCCTCACTGATCCTCCTGCAGGTGGTGAGTCCACAGGAGCCCTTATCTACCAGTGGGGGCTTCAGGGAGAGTGGGGATAAGTGTCTTTCCCAAGGACACAATGACAGCAGTCATCAGTGGGAGTAATGAAGTAGGTCTCGGCTCGAATCCACGACCTCCAGGCCTAAAGGCCAATGCTCAACCAACTGGGCCACCATCGCTTCAGTATATAACATATGAAAGTCAATGTGTGTATGCCTCAACATAATCTGACAAAATATGGCTCCTGTTTCACAATGCAGGGCTAGAGTTAAATATAGCTAGCACATTTCTTTATAAAAACCTTCAAGTAGCAATGAAAATGGGCAATCTCAGTGCATACACTTAGAAGAGAAAGACATAACAATTGAAATAATATGTTTTATTTACCTGATTCCACAACTGTATTCACTACAATCATTATTCATGGTCAATAATGATCCCCTCAGCACTTTACTTTGACCAAGCACCAACATTTGGAAAGGCCTTGGCTCATGTTTTATCACAGTTTTACAGCAGTTGGTAATGATATATTTTATACAAGCAAAAGAACCATGTCGTATTGCAAGACACCAATGAATCAGTGTCACATAATGATTGAAGGTTAATTTATTAAAATAAAGTCGTTAGCCACTTCTTTATCTACACACACCTATTGTGCAAAAATTGTTACAAGAAAACACGTCCCAAACATACAGTATATAACCATCTAAAAATCTTCTGTGCCTATTGTACAATATAATTTATAAAAACAATTTGCAAAGCTTAGATACAGCTAAGACGCATGCATGAGTTGTACCCACACGATTGTACAAATATTCATTACCCAGAGTTCATTGAAGCTACCATGGAAGATGGAACCTGTTCTTCATGCAAGAACAGCACTAAAAACTGGAACTGTGAAAAACTCTCTCCACACAGAGGTATACGTGTCGTGTGTTGTGTCAGAATACACTGTTGGTGGATAGTACGTGTTAGGTAATGTTACAATGTTCCCTTTCTGTACATGAGTATACACACACAGCTGATCATGAACCAGAGCGGGGGGACACAGGAACGGCCGGATACTAACTACCTGTTTTACACTCCTCTTAAAGCTGGTGATGCTTATGACTGCCCACCTGGAAACGAGAGGAAAAACAAAATAAAAAAAGTGGCACATCTGGGTTTGTTTAATGTTAGAACTTATTTTTCTACTCCAAGGAGTTTATGCCCAATATTATTTTAATGTGTAATGTAATTGCAGATGCCATTCTATTTGTAACGGTAACTTTGCTGCCTCTTTATCTTTGTCTAGTTTATCTCAATGGGATTCCTCCTTCAATTAATTAGGCTATTTTAGTGGACAAATGCACTGATATTCATATACTAAAATGGGCACATCTAATTGTAATGTTTATATATATATGTCAGTGAATATAACACATACATACAAGCACATTCATCTGCCTCTCAGATTGCATAAGAACACAGTGGTTGTGAATCTGCTTATTGTTGCAGTTGTGCTAATGTAAGTATGAAAGGTGGGAAAGAACACTCTGTGGATACTCACTATTGGTGGTGTGCCAATGGAAGGCATTGGGGAAGAAAGCACACAGTTGTTAAGTGGAACACAGTGCAAACAGACTAGGCTAAACGCATGCTTCTGAGGGGATCCACACAGACTGCATGACAAAAATATTCTAAACATTGCTGTTAATTAAATAGGCTTAAGTCCTCCATCAAACAGCGACAACAGCAAACCACGTACAGCTTAAAAAAACTATGAGATCCTACAAACTATCTGGAGCCTATTATCAGCTCATAAAGCCAACTGAAGCATTCATTTATATTCAAGTATTCAAAGTAGAAACAAAACACAGTATCACACCTTAAATAAAGACCGAAAACACTTTGAATCAAAGGGTTGATGAGTGTATTTTCTTTCTAATAAAAATGAATTAAGGATCATTTGGAATATATATTATTTGCCATTGAGAAAATATGAAATAAGTTCTCTGAATCAAGCACATGGAGAACACGGCCAAAACACTTCTCCATCGGTTCTGTCTAATACAATGATCACAACTAAAATACATACAATTTAAGAGTTTTCTGCACAAATAAAGAGGCACACCTCGAGTGTTACACCGTCTAATATAAAATTCCATGATGCAAAGCCTTTAGAGATGAGCAGACATTGGATTGTATTGAGGTAGCTGTGCTCTGCCCGGTGCAGAAATAACTGGCTTTTTTCAAATAATGAGTAAAAAACGTCCATCTCAGTTTATTCACTATGGGGTTATCCACAATTAAAATAAGGAATGAAGAAGCTAATTTCATGCTTGGTCACAGGACATGCGGAGTTTGTTTCTCAGATTTTTTTTCCTTTTTCAGAGCATTCAAAACATCCCCCCCCCGAACATTTGCTAGTGCGATCTGCCACTTGGAGCTCGCCTCGGAGTTCATACTGAAGACACAATGGTAAACATTAGAAATAAAACAACCCAAAACAAATCAAAGTGGTAAGTCTAAGCCACGCTGGTCAAACAAATTACAAAGCGGTAAAAAAAAAGGTTTGCATAAAATATAGTGTTCAGTCTTTTTACAGGACAATGATTTTCAGATGTGAACATTTCCTTTTGTTGATGAAATGAAACAAAATTATATACAGGAATCTAAATTATTGGTCAATAAAAAACAATTTCCATGAACAAAAACGTCATTTTCAAAATCTAAATTTTGTACCCCGCAACAATGTCCAGAGTTCAGGCGTGCCAGTGCAACACTCATCCACCCACCCTCTGTGAACCTCAGACCCAAATCCAGTGGGTGATTTCTTAACGTTAACATTTAATTGTATTCAGTACGTTTAATTAAAGTTGGTCCTCATTCACACAGGCACACTGTCTAAATCTACAAACACATCCACACTAACGAGCTACGCAGAGGAAAGGGCAGAAGAGAGAAGTGGTGGCGGTGACGTGGGGCAGAAGGAAACTGTGCTCAAGTCAGTCAGGACCAGAACATGTCAGCCATGTTAGTGTCGGAGCTGTAGATCCACACGATGAGTGGGAGGGACACGGCCACAAAGGGCCAGGAGATGCCCTCAAAACATGCACATATGGAACAGCCTTTGGAGCTGGCCGCCTTCTCCAGCTCATTACCGCGCTCCAGGTAATTTCTAGCAGCAAACTTAAGAACCTCATCCAGCAGAATAACAGGGAGTGATATCTTCAGTACCATTAGCCACTGAGTCAAGTTAAGAGGGGTAATCTGAAAGATTATCTGAAAATAGAACGAGGAGAAAAAAATTGTGTTTATAATAGCCAAATAAATGTTTTTTTACAAAACACAATGGTTCATATAAGCTCCTTACAGGTAGTGGTTCAACGTAAAGGATGAGGAAGTGTAGAGACATGGAGAGGCAGATGGCTCCCAGCAGCCACACATTCTCCCAGGGAGGCATCCGCAGCAGTGACTGGTTTTCTGACACACTAATAAAACACAAATATTTGAAGAAGGCTAGTATCAAGAGCACAACATTTTCCCAATAAAATCTGCTCTGATGAGGTCTGAATATACCTGTTCAGAGCATTGCACATTTCAATTGTGACCAGCACCGAAAGGGCCATGGTCATGGGATATGGGGATTCAAAGATCTTGCAGTCAAGGCCATTGAAGTCGACATTTTCAGGTCCACATTGTAAGAAGTGACTCTAGGATATAAGAAAATATATTTTGAAAATGGAAACTCTGGATTCTAAACATTCAAATCCTATTTCACTTTAGCTAACCAGCTGGTAAAAGGTGATTCTAGGACCATCTTCAGCTGCCACAAACCACCAGGAAGCAGCTCCAACAGTCGCTGCACCCACATAACCTGGTAACAAACAAGTAAGGATCATAAGAACACCAAGAAGGAGGAGAACACTTCATGTTGCTTCATGTTTTGAAATTCCTCTTACATCCAATAGCCAGATATCTGAAGAAGAGCCATCCTGAGATGAGAGGCTCCCGGGCGTTGCGTGGAGACTTGTTCATGATGTCCAGATCAGGTGGGTTGAAGCCCAAAGCTGTGGCCGGCAGACCATCAGTCACAAGGTTGACCCAGAGCAGCTGGACAGGAATGAGAGCTTCAGGGAATCCCAGGGCTGCTGTGAGGAAGATACTGAGGATGGAGAGAGTATAAAGGCATTCCTCTTTTAGACAAACTATGCAATCAAATATGAAGATCTATCCGAAACATACCAGACAACTTCTCCAACATTTGAAGAAATCAGGTATCTGATAAACTGTTTCATGTTGTTGTAAATGGCTCTGCCTTCCTCGACTGCCGCTACAATTGTGGAAAAGTTGTCATCAGCAAGAACCATTTCAGAAGCAGTTTTGGCCACTGCTGTGCCCGAGCCCATTGCAATGCCTATCTCAGCTTTCTTAAGAGCAGGAGCGTCATTCACACCATCACCAGTCTGCGCACCAGAGGAACCAAAATTAACATTTAACCCTTTCAAACTTGTGGAAATTCTTAAATTTTAAAACTACAATGTTGCTCACTTACCATTGCTGTAATCTCATCATAAGATTGTAAAATTTCAACAATCTTAGACTTATGTGAAGGTTCCACTCGAGCAAAGCAGCGGGCTTTGACCACAGCTTCCCTTTGTGCTGCTGGGGACAAATCATCAAACTCTCGTCCAGTGAAAGCCATGCTTGATACGTCATCGTCTTCACCAAAAATGCCAATACGGCGGCATATGGCCACGGCAGTACCTGTGTGAAAGTTAAACGTGAAAGTTAGTCCAGACTTAAACCTGTGGGAAGTTTATCCCATATGATATATTATTCTGGACACCTACCTTTGTTATCTCCTGTAATCATAATCACTCTGATACCCGCAAGACGACAAAGTCGAATAGAAGCAGCAACCTCAGCTCGCGGGGGGTCCAACATGCCCACACATCCGACAAATGTCAAGTCAGTCTGAGAAACAAAGCAATTTACCAGTTAAACAAAATCTTAATGAGGGTTGTCAAAAATATAAAAAAGCAAAAACTAGTACGGCAACTGGATTAGTATAGAAAAAAATTAAACAGAAGACACAAAAATGCAAGTTTTATTTCCCCAAAGTTGCATCAAATGTATTTCTTGGTATTGTAATCAACATTGTAATCCTAGACATGGAGTCTCACCTCATACTCAATAAAGCGATTGGAGTCTTCAAGAACTAGACTGTCTCTGCTCATGGGGTTGTCTCGAGTGGCCAGGGCCAGGCAGCGCAGGGTGTCCCGCCCTGTGCCGTACTCTCGAATGACTGACATTAATTTGTCTTTGATGCCAGGGGTCATGGGCAACTTGTTACTGCCAACACGCACGTGAGTGCATCTGTCAATCACTCCCTCAGGAGCACCCTGTGAAAGACAAGATGTGATAAAGTCTCAATAACACAAACAACAATAGGACACGATAAGAAGGCTCACCTTCACAAACATTTTCCCAGCAGAGGAGCGGGACTTATTTGGGGTGCAGTACACAGACATAGACTTCCTATCTCTGGAAAACTCCAGCGTTAATTCCTTTTTCATCAACTGCTTTATTACCTAAAATAACAGTTTAACACCATAAGAATGCACATGGTCCACATACTGAATGCAGTTAAATACTTACTGAGTTACAGGCATTGGCTCGCTCCACTTTGGACAGGCCCTTCACATTTGTATCAAACACGTTCATCTTCTCCACTAAACAAGTGAGAGCAGTCTCTGTTGCCTCTCCAACTTTCTCATACACACCTTTGGTCTAAAAATGTAAATATAGGTTTCAAATATATTTTCAAATTTAAAACTAGTATATCACAAATAATTTACCAACAAACCTCATTAAAATCAAGCGATGAATCATTACAGAGCGCACAGATAGAGGCCAGCTCTACCAGAGCATCATACTGGGAACATTTGACAGCCTTTCCATCTTGGAAGCTTTAGCACCAATAAAATACTTCACTTAATTAAAAATAAACAAAACAGAATAAATGAATGTAACTGTATACTTACACTTCTCCCTCTGGAGCATAAGTGGATCCTGTCACTGTGAACTCTTTCAAAGAACAGTGGTCGCCTTCTGCTTTGTCAAGAACAAACATCTGCACAAAGAAACAAAAGTCAACTTCTCTTTACAGGTGTGATCGATATTGACAGTTTAATTTAAATCAATTGGTCTTAACAATGCAGACATGACATTTGTGCCTGGAGCAAAGTGACGTTTAATAGTCGTTTTAATTATTTCCTAAAAAATAATTTGGTATCAAACATTTGGTGTCACACTGATGATTCTGGATTAAAAAAATCTTTCCGAACACAGCAGGTTACATACAGTAAAGCCTCTGCTGTTAGTGACTAACAACTGAAAACTGATTCATATAGTTAAGGATTATTAAGTAAGTTGATAACATAGTTAATGTTGTTAACATGTTAATAAAACAGCTATTAACATAGTTATTAATATTAGATTCATCTAGGAACTTGTTACAGCAATAGAAAAGCAGTTGATTGCCCGAGTAGAAAGCAGAATGCATCCATCATATATGAAATCGTCAGTTTAATTAATCCTTGCACTTTCTTCAGTTCCGACCAAAGTGATTAAAGTACAAGAAAAATACCCTTAGGATCTAAAAGGTCAAACTATGAGCCCCAAGTGGAAAAATAAGGGTCAAGGCCTGTGTTCTTACCCGGCAAACGGACATCTGATTGGTGGTGAGAGTGCCCGTCTTGTCAGAGCAGATCACAGAGGTGCAACCCAGGGTCTCCACAGATGGCAGACTGCGCACAATGGCGTTTTTCTTGGCCATGCGCCTTGTACCCAAAGCCAAACATGTGGTGATGACCGCAGGAAGGCCTGGAGGAGGAGAGGGCAAAGTGAGCAGAAGTGTGTAAAGCCCCGTGTACCGACATAAGAAGGACAGAGAATTACCCTCAGGGATCGCAGCCACAGCTAAAGCCACCGCAATTTTGAAATAATACACGGCCCCACGAATCCAAGAGCCTCCATGGACGGGGTCGTTGAAATGCCCAATATTGATGATCCAAACCGCAATGCAGATGATTGAAATCACCTGGATACAATTTTAAAAAAAGTGTTTGTAGTTCTTGGTTTGGGCAAGAGAACTGTACTACTCTACGTGTAGTGTCCTGATTGATTAAACATAACACATGTCGATGCTTTTCTTCCACTGTTCAACTCAAACTAATTCACTGGTGTCAGACACAGTCTTATTTAATGTACTGTCCAATCATCAAGGTGTGTAATGGAAACATTAAATTGGCCTATTCTGCCAATACAACTATTGCAGTCCGTGCAGAATGTTAAGTTTATACTTGCACCCAAACTAATATAGAGTATGTGAAAATAGACAACACAAACCTTGGACAGCTGCTCTCCAAACTCGTCCAGCTTCTGCTGAAGGGGAGTGCGTTCCTGTTCTGTAGATGCCATCTCATCTCGGATTTTACCGATCTCTGTGTTTCCTGCAGTGGCTACAACCACACCGACAGCTTTACCAGCCGAAATGTTTGTACCCTAAGGAGAAATGGAATTAAGAGGGAAAATTATTTTCACAAGGGCCAACCCAATACTCAAGGTGGCAGATAAAACACACACCCTCAAAATATTGGAGTCACAAAATTCAACTCAAAGGCTGGAATCATTTGAGAAGTAAATAAATATGTTAATGTTAAAGTTATACCACAATAAATAAAGGCCCGACAGTTGATCTGTAGACCCCTACAGTAAGCAGTATTTATCCAGTTATGTTGTTCAGGGTAGAAAAGGCCATTGGTAAAGATGCTTTTAAGTGTGACTCACAGAAAAGAGCATGTTCTTCTTGTCTTGGTTGACGGCTCGGGGGTCAGGCACTGGGTCAGTGTGTTTGATAACAGACACAGACTCTCCTAAGACAAAAAAAATTTCAACAGATTGAGAAACAGCTTCATGTTTTGACTCTTAGGGCAGACGTGGTGGATCAGACTTTGGTGTCAGTGAGCAGCCCACTCAAACGCTCCCTCAGCCTAATGAACTGGTTCCTCACTTGTGATGGAGAACGGCATAAAGCTTTTGACAGATTTTATGGCCCAGAATGGGGCGAAGACCTGGAAAGAAACAGTTCTCCGAAAGTCTTAAATATCTCTTGGAATTTTCTTCCAATTAAGGCAGTGGAAAGAGATTTAGGGCCTTGATTCCCATAAAGCAGGTTTGGTTAAGCCACCCTCTAACTAAAATGAATGTTTTGTTGTCTTCAGAAATAATCATTTACCGTTTCTTTGATCAGAGCAGACATTTTTGTTTGAACAGAGGCCATAGCAACTAAACTAACAAGGCAAATAAAGGTGCATTTGAACCATGTGTGGACATGTTTTATGGAAAGCCGTGTTGACTTTAGAGCTAATGTTAAGATACATAAATGTTTTACCTGTGAGAATGGACTGGTCCACACGCAGTGTGGTCGACTTGATAGAGCATAGTCGGATGTCCGCAGGCACTTTATCTCCAACTATGAATGAAAAACAAAAGCCTTTAGTATTTACCACTGACAAACAATCATAAATAAATTAAGGATAAACTATAAATGAGCAAACATATTGTGCAAAAACTTCAAGACAAGAACTAGAGTCTCTCGAACACAATGTTTGGTTAAATACAATTTCTGTAAACAATTTTCCTGATTAAGACTAGGAGTGTGACATATCGATATGGTGATGTATCGTGATACTTTCTCACGCAATCGATTATCGATATGCTTTTGCTAAGCATCGATTTAATAAAAAAAGCTAAAATAATTAAAAAACAAAAACATTTTTAAGCTTTATTGAAAAAAAAATGAAAAAAGTATTGGTACTTAATATATGGCTACATTACGCATTATACAATTTCTGTAGAATGTTCATATTGATTTTATTGGATGCAAGACAGATAAAGTAAGATTTTTACTAAAATGTGCAGGTTAGGGCTTTTTTCCTTGTTCACTTTAATGTCACACATGACACTTTATCCATTTATCTTGAAATAAAGTGTATTATTTCACTTCGTTTATGCCATATACATAAGAAAAATATTATCGTAGGTATATTTTTGACCAATATATCGATAATTGCTGCATCGTCGTATCGTGAGATAATTGTTATTGTGAGATTTGTATCGCACATTTTTGTGTGGCTGTACATGCAGGACATAACGTTTTGGAAAAAAGTCTTGGTACTTTCATTTAGTCATCCATATCATGTCTATAATATATGAGATTGTAGTTTCCATAAAATCTGAGTCGAAGGCCACACTTGAGTCTGTGATATGCAGATGGATGGTACACAAAAGTACCAGAGAACAATAAAGCATTTGACAGGGCGCCTCATAAGCTCTCTGAACACTGGAGTATTGTCAGCTGCATCATAAACCCACCCTATCTTTTTTACTTTGGAGCAGAGGTATGAGCAGGGGGCCGACAGGAGATGAGTACAACTTAACACACGTCCAAAAATGGGAAAACTATTTTGATCAGAAGCGAACATGCTCCGAGGGTGAGGGGGAAGGGCAGAGATAAAAAGTCTAGTTTTTTGAGGAAAGGAAAATCCATTGGACACGACTGCACCAAAATAGCAACTGCATGACGCAAGTTCTTTGATTCTCACCGGCGTCACAATCTGGTGAGTAGTTGGACTAAAGAACTGTGGTGTCAATTAATGTATGAGTCAATGTCGTGACATGGCAAGTCTGGAAAAGAATGGTATAATTTCATGTAAATAGAAAGTATTCAAATGAATCTGGTCTCGTGCACGATTCTGGTTCAATGCTGTGCTATCTGTACATCCTAACAAGGTCTTATGAACTGTTGAAGCCACTGTCATCTCACCTTTCAACTGCACTACTACAACACTGACATACAGAGGGAAAAAAGCTTAGTTAAGAACACATGACAATTCACAGGCATTCTACATACAGGGGACTTAAAATTAGATAGTCTTTGCCTTTATATCCATTTCTAAACAACATATGGCTCCGTTAAAAATAATTGCTTTTGGCACCTTATTTAATAGCAAAATATTGATACATTTATTTTTCATTTATTGAAAATGAATTGTCAAAAATCAAGGTCAAAATATAATAAAAAATGATAACAAAGTAAAAAAAATAAAATTCTCTTCACAAAGCACAAGCCCATATTAACCGATAATGATATGAAGAATCCTTATTGGATCCAATTCAAAAAGTATAGATTCCTCAAGCATGTTTGGAATAAGCGTGCTTTCAGTACGAGATATTTGCAATCAACCAAAATGGTTTTCATTCTGTTATCGTCCCCCGTGTCAAACATGAACAACTACTCTCTTTACGAGTGGCCTGTGGCAGTGCTGACAGAAGCCAATCATTAAACAGTGGACTCTTGTGCAGGTTTATCTTCTCCACAGAGAGGCCTGCAGCTCCTCTCCACACACCTTCAATTGAATGCCTTTTAAATTAGTAATGAGTCAGACATTTGAAAAATAAAATGGGTTCTATGCGTTTGGAGTAGAATGTGATGAATCAATGTCACAATTTATCAAACTTGATAAGTAAACAGCATGCAACTCTGTCCATGTTACGTTCATGCTCTAATAATCCACTGCAAAGATAGCGCTGGCTCAGTTCTCAGAGCACACATGCACATCCAGAGAGGAAAACTACAGCTGACACAGGGAAAAGAGAAGAGAAGCCTCAGCTTAAGTGGTGACAATAGACAGGCCAACCCACGCTGTTTAATAAAAGACAGAACAAGAGGACCTTCACATCCTGTGTCGTCTTTATCAACATTACATTAATATTAAAACTCCATGACGACATGACCACAAACCAGGCAATGCATTTTCTTTTTACTCACAGAAGAATTAAACAACTCTGCTGGATGTGAATCTCACTCACGGGATACTTGGACCAGTTTCTGCATCTGTCAGCCTACAAAACATCCCACTAAGTACCAATATGGAGCAGTGAATCCCTCAAGCGGATGTAATGTGTCAAACAGGTCAGAAAAATAGTTAATTTATTTATGCAATTCAATATATCAAATACACTCCTTACATGCAAAGGGAAATATGTCAAGGATCTGTTAGGCGTTCCATTATGGCTTGCAAAATATTAGATTTTATCAGAGATGTTTAATTTGGGGTTTTGACAAGCTAAAATATAAACATAAAAAGGCTTAATATATGTCACTTTGTATGTAATGAATCTAAGCATGGTAACGTTCAAGCACTAGTTTCAGTTTTATATTAAATTACAGAAATAAAATGAAGAATATTCAATTTTTTCCGAATTTTACCAGTATATCAAATGAAGGAGAACCTGTTTTCAAATAATTCCAAGTGATAAACTTAAACAATCTTGTCTTGTTCTCATGGACTGCCTTGATAAAGTTATGTCTTGTCCAGCCTCTACATAAGTGTTTATTGAAACCATACAGGACCTTACTGCTCTGAACTGGATGGGTTCTGCTCTCGATATACTCCACTGAACCATTTGTCAATATTACCGTTCTGAAACAGGCCTGGTATTGGAACAGGATGTGGCCACGCTGCAAAGCCAATTGCATAACATGGCTACAATTATCCAAATTAATTACCAATATCATAGCAACCACTTGTTTGAAAATTGTTCAAAGCGTTTCCTGTTTGCTCGGTACAAAGGCTGGGCTTAAGAGCTGTATTCGACTGAATGAATTGTAAAAAACATTTACAACAGAATTAATGAGGGAATTAATTTCTCACAGTCAACACCCCCTTCCTTCTGACAAGGTCCATTTACGGTATTTTATTCTATAGAGAACAGTTTGCCAAGACAAGAATGACTGATGAACTGAAGGATCAACCAAAGGCAGGTCAGGAGTGCATTAATAACGCTTCTATGGTGTTTTAGGAGTATAATTTCTATCATACCATTACACTGGGTAACAAAAAAATATTTTTTGAAAATAGTCCAGGGTTTTCAGCTGAATTAGACTAATGTTGATGCTCTGAGTCCGAAAATGACCTTGGTTTTGCTCAATCAGGTCAGGATTTTTTGCTACAGAAATATTTTTTTTAATTGATTTTGCATAAAAAACAGATTTCTGCGGATCATCAGCTGAGAAACCCTTGACGTTTTTTCCATTTTCCTCAAGAAATAAAAGTCAACGTATCCAAAGTCATTCAGTTTTTATTTACTCCATCAAATTTGATAAGCAGAATTCATAATAACGTAGACGTACATAATCCGTAACACTATGGCTGTATCTCAAACAGTTGACCTGATAGAGACAAATGCATGTGATATTCGGACTCAGAACACCAACATTAGTCTGAATCAGTTGAGAAACCCCTGACCATTTTTTGGCTGTAAACTTGTGTAATGATTTGATACAAAAACAAGCTGCTGAAGACCTGCACGAGTTTCTTACCTGCCACCTCCACAATATCTCCAGGCACGATGTCTCGGGCTTTAATTCTCTGCACGCTTTTTCTGTCCTGCCGGTACACTTTTCCCATCTCTGGCTCATATTCTTTCAGAGCTTCAATGGCATTTTCAGCATTTCTTTCCTAAAAAAAAAGAAGCAAAATAACAGGACATTTTACATAACACAACCCAAGAGGTCATTTGAAGGGTGGGGCGTTAAACATAGAATAACACAAACTAGTTTAGGTACCTTTAAAAACTTTCCAATGTGGTTTTATTGCAAAAATGGCAAATAAACTGAATCTGATGAAGACAGCCTCTTATAGCCTGATTAGTTTGCAAAATGTGGTGACAAATAAAATGGATTATTTATGAAAAAATTATATGTGCTAGACTATTCTGTAAAGTCTAGACTAAATGTTCCCCTAACAATCTTTAAAACAGCCAGGGAAAAAATAAAATCCCACTAAGACCACGTATACAAATGGGAAATATTACCCAAGCATCAAGCTAAAATGAGAGAAACTGAGCGAGCAATTTATTGAAAACTAGAATTAACCTGAAATGGGCCATAACAGGTGGAAAGATGTGGACTCATTGTCAGAGTGAAGGGTTTCCAAACTTTCAAGCAATTTCCTCCTTGAACCACACACAACTGACCTGACAAGCATTTCTTCTCATTACATATTTAATCTCTACTTGGGACCATGTGCATTTTTTTCTCAAAATGGTCCCAAATTTGATCAGGAGATTAAATGCAAACACTACATGCAAATTTGTTCTGTGCCATATTGCATTCATATTACTTCCACAAAATAGGTGATTCATTTAGGATTAAAAGATATCTGAAGCCACCGTACTGGCTAAAATCTATGCTACCAGTGAAACCGGAACAACTGTTTTCCACGCCTTTAAGTCATAATTTTCCATCCCCAGCCATCACCCTTTCAACTCTTTTCAATCTTGTGGACTTGTTGAGCCTAATGCTGCAGAAATACAGCTCCTTGTGTGGCAGCAGCACACGGCTATACAAGGCAAGACGATGTGCCTAACCCCGAGATACTTCAGGCTTGTCGAGGAGTAGTCAAGGGGGTGGGGAAGAAGGATTATGAGGTCTGTACAGTACGCTTACTTAATATTGGTACAAAACACTAAGTTTGGATTATAATTATTTTTAAGTGTAGACAAGGAATAATAAAAAAGGCTCAACCAAGGTAGGTACAGGTCAGGCAAAGTTAAAGTTAAAGCACTTTTTAAGGATGTATCAGACTCCTTACCTGCCATACTCCAACAACAGCATTGGCTATGAGAATGAGGAGTATAACAAATGGCTCCACAAAGGCTGTGATCGTTTCCTCTCCATCTTCAAACCAGGCCAGTACCTAAAACACAGATAAGCCCAAAAATGCAGGCTGTGAACTTCCTGTCCTGGAGGCTCTTTATCAATCCAGACTTTTTAACAGTGCCCTGAGAATTATCAATGACTCTTCTGGCCACCCAGGAAAAGCCTTGTTCCAGCTTCTTCCCTCTGGCAGAAGATACTGTTCTCTGAGATGCAGGACATCTCGTTATGCGAATAGTTTTTTTCCACGAGCTGTTATCAGTTTGAATAGAGCACTTTAATGTTTTTGCACTTGTATAGATCTGTTTTAAGTTGGTCAACTTCACAGTGACATTTGTTTACTGTTTTTAAATTTGTTTTATTTTTGTCTTTTAATGTTGTTTTGTGTCTGTACTTGTCCTGTGCACACTGGGAACTTTTACTAATGTATTCCAATGTAGTGTTACTGCAAATGGCGAATAAAATGAATCTGAATCTGAAATGCAGTGTGGAAAATGGAACAATCAAATACAAATATTACCTTTAACTACAGGAAACATTTATGAAAAGATGCAAAACTTGTCCGATTAGCAGCCCTTTTGTTATTACGGTAATCAACCTAGATCTTTGGAGGTTGAAATAGTACCCTACTTAGGACATTACTTGGAATAAAGTGCTTCTATAAATAGATTTCAATTATTGCCCATGTCTGAACAAGGGCATAAGAAAATGGGCCATGTCTGAGAAAGTTATTAATTTGAGACGCAAAGTTTTGTATTCACTATAGAAATCTGTGCCAGCAATTTGGTGTCAAGTTCAATCTAAACCCCTTAAGAAATGCAAGTTCCATTTAAAAAGGAAATGGAGCTTCATACAGACATATCTCAGTGATGCAATGGGAAGTAAGACCAGCTCCAAGACAATATCTTTGCCTCTGGCCTGTCAGCAGACAACATGTAACAGGTCAGGAAAGACGTGAAAGGAGTCATAATTCAAAGTGTGTGGTTTATGTCAGTACAATAGCATGAGACATAAAGGGCCTCTGAGGTCTGTAAACTGTGAAAGATGTAGCAGTTCTATTGTAATATATTAAGTACTGAAGATTTATTAACGAAATTGTATCATATCTACAAAGAAGTCTTAAGATGAGTTGTTGATTTAACGACACATTATCACACACATAATATTCAGCACTCTTTACAAATGTGTATAGATGATTCTTTGTTTTTGCTTGTTTGTATGGGGATGTATATGTGTCCTCTAGTTTTGTGAGACATTTTGGGATAACTTGTATGAATTGTGCAATAAAAATAAACTTGCATAAAACAGGCCATGGGTTATTATGAAGGTATTCATGTTTCTCTTTTCTCATAAAACAGTAGAAAGTAGATATTGCTATACAGTTGATCTCTATATCTCAACTAGAAACATGTAAAATGTCTAATAATCCAATGCTTTGCTTATCAACCCGTCTCATCTACCATTGCCTTGAATGCACATAACAAGTTTGACTCAAGAGTAATACTTACAAATGATATACAAGCTGCGAGTAAAAGGATCCTCACGAGAAGATCTTCAAACTGTTCAATGACCAGGGCCCACAAGGACTTGCCTAGAACATGTTTAATGCCACATTTTACACATTGAAAAGTGAAAATTCATTACAAATAATGAGTTAAAATGATGTATTAGTACCTTCTTCTGCTGGCAGCTCTGCGGATTGTTAAAAAAATCAGATAAGAGAACATATTAGCACCACATTCTGACATATTCAATAGTACATATTCATCACACACAATAAAAGTCTGAAGAGAAATTAACAAAATTAGTCGACTTTTCTGAATACAAATTAGGACGATGGCATTGTAGTTTTCGTGGCATTTAACAAAAACAGCCTGCCTCAGATTTCTTCTAGATTAGTGGTAAACAAATACCCACCTTTGGTTTTCACACCGTTTTTGTGAGACAGGCCTCCTCTCTGACAATGTTTAAAAACCAGGTTAAAGACAGTTCTGTTTAGCTGTGCATACAACTGAGGGATTTTATATTTTTATCTTTTTTTTTTATGTACTGTGATTATTTATGATTTTAATGCTTTCTTGTTTTGTTCAGCACTTTGAATTGCCTTGTGTATGAATTGTGCTATACAAATAAACTTGCCTTGCCTACCTCACAGGTCATATAATTATGTTTATAAAGGGTACACCGTTACAAGAAGAAACGTGCTTATGGAATCCCTGCTCTACGTATGTCACGCCATGTCCAACACACCAGGAAGCTAAATTATGACCAAACGCACTTTACCCATTACACACACCACATTAGAAATCTGTTTAATCTGTAAATCGTCCAGCATTTAGTGGGTTAAAAGTTTTCCTTTGACATAATCAGTGACGTCCGCTATGAACCCAAAGCAGTCAGCTGAACACGCCACCGTCCATGTATTTTTTTATTTTTTCAGATAAATTATACCAACACGTTTCTTACCATTCGGTCCAAATCTGTCCTTTTGCTTACGCACTTGATCCAAACTGAGACCGGTGCTTTCGTTAACGCTGAAAAAGCCATAAACTTCCTCCACAGTCTTTGTGTGAGCGTTGTCCATGGTGGCCACTTCAGGACAGCCGACACTCAACAACCCAGGCACGGATCTGTCCTACTGCGATGCCGCCAGATGATCCAGGGTTTCGGATGAATGAGCACCGATGATCAGTCAACTCTGGTGAAGGTTCGCAAGAAAAGGAAAAAGATGAGACAGCTTAAAAGTTAAATGAACTGGAACTGTAAATGCTTTTGTGTTGATAGGGGGCAGACATTATAAGTTTTTACTTCTTTCTGCTCCTTTTCATTCATGCTAAATGCTGTTGTTGCATTTGTTTTTGAATGAATGAAATAAATAAAATATAAATAAAAAAATAAAAAAGGTTCGCACTCACCGGACTAAGTCTGATAACACGCCGATAACAGAGGCGTGCATGTGCCTTCAGAGGGTTATCAATCTGTGGTTCAGGCTAACAGGCTAACAGGCTAACAGGCTAACAGGCTAACAGGCTAACAGGCTAAGAGCAGGCTAACAGGCTAACAGGCTAAGAGCAGGCTAACAGGCTAACAGGCTAAGAGCAGGCTAACAGGCTAACAGGCTAAGAGCAGGCTAACAGGCTAACAGGCTAAGAGCAGGCTAACAGGCTAAGAGCAGGCTAACAGGCTAACAGGCTAAGAGCAGGCTAACAGGCTAAGAGCAGGCTAACAGGCTAACAGGCTAAGAGCAGGCTAACAGGCTAACAGGCTAAGAGCAGGCTAACAGGCTAACAGGCTAAGAGCAGGCTAACAGGCTAACAGGCTAAGAGCAGGCTAACAGGCTAAGAGCAGGCTAACAGGCTAACAGGCTAAGAGCAGGCTAACAGGCTAAGAGCAGGCTAACAGGCTAACAGGCTAAGAGCAGGCTAACAGGCTAACAGGCTAAGAGCAGGCTAACAGGCTAACAGGCTAAGAGCAGGCTAACAGGCTAACAGGCTAAGAGCAGGCTAACAGGCTAACAGGCTAACAGGCTAAGAGCAGGCTAACAGGCTAACAGGCTAACAGGCTAACAGGCTAACAGGCTAGCACACTGACTACACCGGCTCCGCTTCGCTAGTTTCTTCAACACAAAAAATTACACACATCGTATTTGAAGACTCGCTTAAACACGCTGACTATGCCCTTTTCTCCTGCGATCTACACTAGTGTTTTGTTGGTTGGCTCTGTACGGTTTGTGCCTCTGCCTGTGCTGAGCCCGTAGTGCGGTCTTCTCGCGTCAGTCCGCAGTGGCCGCATGTGGAGGTCGCTCATTGGTCGAACTAACCGGAAGTCTCTCTCACCGCTAGTTTTGGTCATATCCACGGATCTATGGAGCTGTTATAACGTTTTCATTTTAATGTATTTATAGTTTAAACCTTAGCTCCTTCGTTGGAATGTTTGAAGTCTCATCTTAAGACGCATTTTTACGCTCTGGCTTTTAACACCGCGTGAGTTGTGTGGTCCTCTTTTTATTTGTTTTGTTTTATTGGTTTCATTGTTTTTATTTATTTATTTGTTTAAATTTGATAACTAGTATTTTATTGTTTTAATCACGTGTTTATAGTTAACTGGTATTTTATAATTATATTTGTATTGTTTTACTTTGTGCATATTTAAATGTGTTGATTTTTTCTCTGTGCAGCACTTTGGAAACTTGTTTTATAAAATTTGCTATACAAAAAAAGTGGATTGGATTGGATTGGATAAACCATAAAAGAGGAACATATCATCTGAGATGTTTTGTCAGCCCAACGCACTTTTCCCATTCCCTTCATATGATATGATATAATGATATAAAATGATTTCTTCTAAACTTGATAATAATTTGAATAGATTAGCAATATGGGATTATGTTGTTTTCCTACAAGCCCAGCTGTCTTATAAAGTGTTGGCCATGATAATATTGGACTAATTTTAACATTTCACACTGGCCTGAGTGAACCAATATTGCATTTGGTAGTCTTCCTATGTTGTGCACAGTGTGGCTGTGCAATAAACTGAACTAATGTCAGAATTTACAGTTTAGAACCACATGTGTTACTGTCACTTTATTGAGTCCCTTTCTCCCAGACCCTCATGCTGCTAACATGTACAGATGTCTGTGTAGCTGTACATACTTGGTCCTTATGCAAAAGTAATAAAGGGGTTTTGTGCTGTTTTGCTTCTTCATTAGGATAAAGTTGGAGATGTAATACTTCTTTCTAAATATAGAGATTATGTACAGATTTTTTTATGCTAGAGTTAGAGATTTTTTTCCATTTTATTTTAGTGTAGAGTTATTATTATTTTTTCTTGTGCTGTGTGCTCTTCATTCCTACTGCATGTGACTTGTGATGCAACACAACCCCCCCCCCCCCCTTTATTTTGCTTAATGTTTAAGATTAATTTTAATCTTAAACATTGCTGTTTGTATTATTTGACACAATTTCATCTGCACACCTCAGAGCTTTCGTACATGTATGTAGGTCATGCTGGTTGTGTTATCGCCATGTGGATGTGCGCACATATACGTGCATGTATGTGCTACTTCTGCACAGAATCCATGTACAAAAAAAATAAGCAAATACACAGTTTAAATATAACAAATTTCCTCAATATCTTGAGTAAAAAATATATAAACACAACTAAAAGTGAAATCACTGTAAAATACCACATTATAGAAAGGTTGTAGGATGTATGTTTATCTTCTAGATTTAAAATATTCTTATGTTCTGTCTTTTGTAAGTATTTGGGTCAAACATGGTCAGGGTCCTTCCAGAAACCTTTCACAAGTGGGTTTCAATTCTAACACATTCCTTTGGACAGGAGCCAGGTCTGAAGGCCTTTTGAGATACTCACAGATCTTCTCTTTGTAATTTGGCTAATGCAAGTTTAATTATCTAATTGTTTGTATTTTGCATATTAAAAATACACATACAGTTTAAATTGATTAAAAACAGTATATACTGTTAACGGCCATAGCCTCGGTGACATCTTCAACTCTCACCTCACCTTCCGCTCCCACATCAAACAAACCACCCACCCAATCCAGTTTCTTTCACCATCTCAAACAATCAAAAACAGTCCCACTCCTCCTGAACGCCATTTAGTAGTTAACGCCCTCATCTTCTCCCGCCTTGATTACTGCAACTCCCTCCTCTCCGGTCTCGACTCCAAATCCCTCTCCCACCTCCAACTAGTCCAGAACGCAGCAGCCAGACTTTTCACTTGTTTTAACAGAAGGAAGCACATCACCCCTGTTTTAGAGTCCCCCCACTGGCTGCCTGTGCATTTTAGAATTAATTTAAAGATTTTTCTGATTACTTATAAAGCTAGTTTAGGGCTTGCACCAAGTAAGTAAGCTTTTTATTTATATACCGCCTTTTCACTGCACATCGGAGTCTCAAAGCGGTTTACAATTGTTGGGTGGGGTCACCAGTACAGGAGGCGCATGCCAGACCTATTGTACATATTTTTGGTGGTAGGGGAAACCGGAGCACCCGGAGGAAACCTACGCAGACACGGGGAGAACATGCAAACTCCACTCAGAAAGGCCCTGGTCCAACCGGGATTCGAACCCAGGACCTTCTTGCTGAGAGGCGAGAGTGCTATCCACTCAGCCACCGCACCAAGCTTTTTAACACCCTACAAGCCCGCCTTAGATCCTCGGGCAGGTCCCTGGTGACTGTTCCAAGGTCGAGACTCTGGCCCAAAGGTGACTGAGCCTTCTCTGTCCGGGCTCCTCGGCTTTGGAACGACCTGCCCGAGGAGATAAGGATAGCACCATCAGTATCCTCTTTTAAGTCACTTTTATCTTTTAACTGTTTTAAACTTCACGTTGCATTTTACTGTCTGCTTTGTCTTTGCTTTGTCTTTCTTTTTGTGTTACATCTGTCTGCTTTGTCTTCCTGTATCTACTATTCTATCTAGTTATTATTATATGACTGTTTTTGTGTAGACTGTGCAGAACATTTTAAACATTGTTTTTGAAAAGTGCTATACAAATAAAGATGTATTTATTTATAAGATTTTTTGTTTTTACATTTTGATTTTGTGTAGACGTTATTAACCTATAATTATGATTATTTTGGAGAAATCGTTGTTTCTAAAAATCATTTGTTCCAACTGTATTTTCTATGTCCATTTTGATCATAATAATTTGAATATTGCACATAGAACCATTGCATGAATCTCTAACAAATTATGCTTATGTTTTTCCTTTTTTTTTCTTTGTTATTTATTTTTCCTTTTTTCTTCTTGCTCTCCTATCCTCTCTTTTTTTCTCCCTATCTTGTTTTTGTTTTTTGTTTTGTTTTTCTCTTTTACAATTTTAATTTTGCACTGATCCAGTCCATTATTTTAATGTCTACTGGTAATTTTTCATGTGCAAATACGGATAATTGTTGATTACTGTACTTGTTTCAATGATTGTTATCACTGTCAACATTGGTTTAATAAAGATTAAAAAAAAAAAAAATCTCTAACGGCTTTCTGCTGCCCTCTGGTGGACAAATTTAACTTCTACATTATTCACTAAGATCATTGACAGTCTATGATGAAGACTGCATTTGTAGGCTACAGACTTTTGTACATTTCATAAAAGGACACACATGGTGATTATTTGATCATGTGGAAACTTTTATTTTCGGTTATGGATCATGGCGACAGAACGAGTACTTCCATTTTACATCCGGGTCAGAGGAAGCATGAGCCATGTGTGTTCCTGCAGTGCCTGCTGTAGTTTTGACAGAGAATATATGCTTGCATCTTGCTTTCTCGTCCATCTCAGTACAATAAATGCGATAAAGTGCTGAAGTTGTTGCAGAACAGGGTGCCTTTCTTAGCCGTCTATATTCTCTATATATCCCATTATGTCATAACGTTATGCTTTTTGTTCGATCTTCACTTCGTGCCTTAGGAGAGAGCAGACTGGGATTTAGGAAAAAAGGTAAGAGCCTAAGCATGGTGTTTTCATTCATTAACTAAAGGTGTTGTTCTTTGCAGACTATCTTACTACATTAGTCTGCAACATGAGTGAAGCTGTTCCCACAGACAAAGTTCTGAAAAGAGTTGGTGATGAACATGATGACACTCCTGCAAAAAGGCTCAAGACTGATGACTCCATCGGAGACGAGAGGAAATATCCTAAAAAAAAAGTTGTCTTACTCATTGCTTACTCTGGGAAAGGATATTATGGCATGCAGGTAAATAATAAGAAGCTCAAAGTTGCATATAATGATGCTTTCAGGATTCTGCAGAAAAAGCCCAGGTCCAGTAGTGCTGGTCTGCTGTTCTGTCAGAGTCGTGTGAACTCTTTCCATGCTCTCATGAGCAATATGATGTACAGGTTTATATGTCTGAATGTCAGTGAGAACTATTTGGTGCAGTCTCTGGTGAACCCCAGTATGAGTTCTGTGCGCTACCAGTCAGCTCTGTGGAAGCTCTGGTAGTTTTCTTTTATAACTGTTTGTCTGTTGTGTTTGTGATGTGTTTGTTTGTTTTTTATGGACTTCGAGTCTGATAAATAAAGATAATAAATAATAATAAATAATGAGATAGATATGTCCGGGCCATTTTGTTCTATTCTTATCTTGTCTTTTAGAGAAATCCAGGAAACTCACAGTTCAAAACGATTGAGGATGATCTGGTCACAGCTCTCGTTAAGTCTGGATGTATCCCTCAAGAGCACTGTGATGACATGAAGAAAATGTCCTTTCAGAGATGTGCCCGCACAGACAAGGTGGGTCGTGTGTAGAAATAATCTGATTTTATGGTACATACATTACTGTAATGTATTTATTTCTTCCCAAAATTGAGCTTTTTACATCAAAGTTTTTTTGTAGGGTGTATCTGCTGCTGGCCAGGTTGTTTCCTTGAAGGTACGCTTAGTTGATGATGTAATTGAAAAGATTAATGAGCATTTGCCACCACAAATAAGAATTCTGGGTAAGTAACTATAGAAATATTCTATTAATCTATGAGAGATGATGGATTTCATCATATATTATGTTTATGCTTTTGACAGGTCTAAAACGAGTGACTCAGGGTTTTAACTCTAAGAACAATTGTGATGCACGCACATACTCTTACACACTCCCAACTGTGGCGTTTGCTTCAAAGGATTATGATATAGAGAATGCAGCTGCCTTTAGGCTGAGTCCAGAGACACTTGAAAACATTAACCACTTGTTTTGTCTTTATAAAGGCACACATAATTTTCACAACTTCACTTCACAAAAGGCATCCAGCGATCCGAGTGCACGCCGCTACATCACACAGATGTCCTGCGGAAAGCCCTTTATGTCCAAGGATAATGAATTTGCAGAGATCACTGTCAGGGGACAGAGCTTCATGATGCACCAGATTCGTAAGATGATTGGCCTGGTGATCGCTGTTGTCAAAGGTTATGCTACAGATGATGTCATTGAAAGAAGCTGGGGGAAAGAGAAGGTGGATGTACCTAAAGCTCCTGGGCTTGGACTTGTCTTGGAGCGGGTCCACTTCGACAGATACAACAAAAAGTTTGGAAGTGACGGGCTGCATGAGGGTCTAGAGTGGGACAAAGAGGAAGAGGCTATCCAGACCTTTAAGAAGGCTCACATCTACCCCACTATAGTAGAAACAGAATGTCAGGAAGGCTCAATGATCAGCTGGATGGCCACTCTTCCCATACACGACTTTGAAGCCACAGCTACAGGCTCACAAGAAAACAAGGACCAAAAAGAGGTATAGCATATTATACTAGTCTAAAACCTTGTTTAATGTTCATTCAACAACTTATTTTTCTCGCAGGTCAATGAAGAACAAATGAACTCTGATTAGATGTTTTTAGTTTTCTTTTTTCAGATTGTGTAATTCAGGTATTACTTAATCATGTGTTTATCATTTTAGATATTAAACCAAAAATAAAAGCATTCTTGTTTTGAACTTTATTTTCTGCAAAGCAATCAATGATTGTGTATTGTGCTTGGCCTCGTTTGTTTTAAGAAAATGGATGTTATTCGTATCTACAAAAGTCCATTTAATGTCAACATTTTTTCCAAATCGCTGATGAACGTATTCCTTCAGATGGAAAACCCGCAGTGCACACTCCAGTCCTCTAGGAGGCAGAACACTTACAAAGTTCACTTAAAATGGTGCTTTCAATGAAACCCGAAATTAACCATTTCACAAAATGTAACTGCATGTATCTTTTAATAAAGCCTAGTTTCAGCCGTTGTGACTTAATTACACCAACGTGACAGTACGCACAATAAATAGCAAATTATGATGATATTCTTGTGGTTTTTGTATGAAAATTTTTCTTTTAGCAGTATTTGAACGTAGCACCGTCTTTGACGGGAAACATGGCGCCGACCGAGAAACGCAACGTGAGTTCTGCTAAAGTAGGTAAAGTAAGCGAAAAGAAGACTAAAATTGATCCTGATACATTGGTGAAGGGGATTCTTGAAAGTAAAAAACACGCCAACGATGTTTTTGACTTATTGGAGATGCTTCAGGTAAGAGATGGCTGTGCTTCACCAGGCTGACTCCAGCTGACTCCAAAACTCTGTTTTCCAGGCCAATAAAGAGAAGGATGTGGTTAGTGCGATTAGTGCTTGCAACACATTATTCTGTGCCTTACTGGGAAGAAAGGATCTGCACCGGGGCAAGCTCCCTGAGGAAGAGGAGGCTTTGAACGGTCTGTATGGGCTGGACATAGATTGTATACATATATATATATACATATATTAAATCACAACTCACTCATTTATGTTGCAGGGGATTATACTGCTCAACAGAAGTATCAAATATTCATGTGCCACCGTTACCACAGCTGTAAGGAAATACTGTTTGACTATCTGGATCATGAACAATACAATGTCAAGGTAATTAATTTACCAGTCGTTCTGGATAACACGCTTGATATACAAAGGGTTTCATATCCCACCCTGAGGGTTATTGTATCTGAACAAAATGATAAAAATCTGTACAGTACAAGGATCACATACCTCATACCTCACCAACCCTGCATCTCAAGTTACTGTCTGTTGCATTTGATGCAACATTGAAATTTCCCCACTGTGATACATGTAAAGGATCTCTTAATTATGCGGCTTTCCATAGAGAATGTTCCTATAGCTGGAGTTCCTAACTTTCTTTTGTTTCATGAATACATGTTGTTTTCCCATAACAGAAAGAGTTGGATTTAGATAACATTTTGTGAACAAATCAGACCACATCTTGTTTAAAAACGGTTTATCTTGAGAGATTATCACTGAGAGATTGAGTGAGTGAAGGTGGTCCTCTGAAAACTAGTGAACCAAACTGCTCATGGAGTTAGGCACTAGTTATATGGATTTTTCTATATCAAGTTTTTACTCCAGCTTACCGTTATACTGCTTTGGACTAATATATGTGCCACAATAGAAAGTTATGTAATTTTATTTTTAGTTATGATATTTCTTATTTCAGGAGAGTGCACTTTGTTGCCTGATGAAATTTGCTGAAAGCGAAGGTCTGCATCCTCTTGAGAATTTAGACTGGAGTGAACATTACAGCTTCCCCAGAGAGCTGATCCAGGTAATGAGGTGTTATTGTCTTGACAAATGTTGCCACCCGAAGTCAAGGTCAAGATTTTTTTTTCCACTTAGTCGCTGGTTGGCCGTCTCTTGTCTACAAGTACAGACAACGCCCTGCTGATCTCCAGGTTTCAAGAATACCTTGAGATGGGAGATGTGCTGTATTATGTGATGAGCTCCGTCCGTCACCATGTCCCACTTGTCATGGATAAAAACAAAGGGGTCAGCAGCGTGCAGTATCCGCATCCGTTTCACTCTTTCCTGACATGAACCTAAACCTACATTTCTCTTTCAGGTTCCTTTACCCGTTTTTCAAAACAATGTCTTTGGTCTCATGTCCAACATTTCTATGCCGACTGATGAGTCAGACCTGAACTTTATGGTCACACAAGAAAGTATGTGTTTATGGCACGTTCATACTTTTGGTTCACTTTCCCCCCCCCAAGTGAACCAGACCAACAATCTTAAGAAAATATTGTCTTTCTCACCTGTATTTTATGTTTTTCAGGTAAACATGAAGACTGGAAAGCTTCCAAATTGAGCGTAAGTGTGTCTTATAATGTTGTGCTTATTGTTAACGTAAATTATTTGTTAATTGGTAATGTTACAGGAGCATAAAAGGGGTTTTGAGAAGATGTGGTTAGGTTTTCTAAAATACAAGGTAATTTTTTCCTTATTCTGATATACTTACTACCACATTATTCATGACCCCTTTTCTCTTTAATTGAATAGCTTCCAACTAGTATGTACAAGAGGGTGTTGGTGATCTTGCATGACTCCATTCTGCCGCATATGAGCAACCCCACTCTTATGATTGACTTCTTAACTGCTGCGTATGACGTTGGTGAGTGGAAAACCAACACAGCAATATTTAACGTGAATATAAACTGTATGATATCATTGTAACATTTGTATTTGGTTTCAAGGTGGTGCTATCAGCCTCCTAGCTTTGAATGGGCTGTTTGTCCTCATACATCAACATAACCTGTGAGTACTACCAGTGCATAATGTGTTATTATTTACTAAATTATAATGCACAGCAAATGTGTTTCCTTCTAGAGATTACCCAGACTTTTACACAAAGTTGTATAATCTACTTGAGCCATCAGTGTTTCACGTCAAGTATAGAGCACGATTTTTTCATCTGCTCAACCTCTTTCTCAGCTCAAGGTAACACCAAACACATATTTCATCATTCAATCATATTTCATTTGTATTACCAAGTGCAACGTTTTGGTTTTTTCCAGCCATTTGCCCGTGTACCTTGTGTCTGCATTTGCGAAACGCCTGGCTCGCTTGGCTCTCACAGCACCACCCACGGCACTTCTCATAGTGCTGCCTTTCATTTATAATTTACTCCGTCGTCATCCTACCTGCAGAGGTCTTATTCACAAGCCCAGCACACAAGATGGTAAAAAAATATGAAATTAAAAAAAAATGACATACTAAGTAAATACAGAGCATCCTTTGCACTCAGAGTTTCGATTGCTTCCGTCTGGGCGTCGGTTTTTGATGCCAATGAGCCACACGAACCGTTTTAGGAAAAGCTTTGTTCCCGCTGCCCTTTCCTTTATGAACAAGTCGGGATCAAACTGCCCCTGACACAGGTTTTTTATCTTTGTTACTGTCAAGTGGCTTAAATTTCAGTTGTTTTTTGTACCAAAGGCACATCCTGTTAGTATGTGGAGCACTTATAAGTTTTGTATTTTATATGTATGATGTTTTATCTTTGAAATGTGTTTTAATGTGTCGACTAGTTCTCAGAATTGCAAAACGAATTTACCCACGGGTACAAATAAATTAACCTAACCTATACATGTTTTGACCTTATGCTATGTTTTGCGCATCCCATGTAGAGTTAACGGAGGATCCCTTCGATATGGATGAAGAAGATCCTGCTAAGTCGTGTGCACTGGAGAGCAGCTTGTGGGAAATAAAGGTAAATCCATGTATATGTGTTTCATCTCCTCTTCATTTATGACACGCATACTTTTTAATCTTAAATGAATTTGTGTTACCCATTTTTTTTAGACATTGCAGAGACATTACCATCCTGATGTGGCCAAAACGGCAATGCAAATAAATTCCCCCTTGTCTGATCAAGAAGATGACATTGATGCATTACTGGAGATAACTGCTTTTGAGGTATTGAATAAGCTTAATCCTTTTTGTCAAAGCAATCTTCTTTCGTTCTTAATGAGCAGAATATTGTCTCAGTATCATAAAGTATTGTGTAATATAAGGCTAGGCTTTTTTTCACTTTTTATATTACTTTGAAAATATATACTGCTTTAAGCTAATTTTGAGAATTGGGTTTGTGCCTAATTGGATACAGTACCAATTCTTTACTTTTTATCATTGTTTTAAGGGTATGCAATTTAAGAAGATGACAAAGTCTGGGATCGTGTCTGTAATTTGGACAGAAGACATGTTTTATTGTCGTTGATAGAGACACGAACATTACCGACTGCAAGTGATAATATACAGCGGAGGAATGAACATTGTCCAATCAGCTTTTGCCGCGATGACAGTAGCTTGGCCTTCAGGAATCAAAACAGGCTGTGGAAAAGTACTGCTTTGAGTATATTGTTAGAACTTTAACCACAGTTGCTTCAAAGTGTCATGAAATCTCTAAACAATACACAAAAGAAGGATCCGAACTCTTTTCCTTTTGTATTCAGCGGTCACTGTTGCTTTGTTGTGCTGTCTTTTTGTTCAATAATCTTCAATTACATGTTACATTACTTTATCTTTGACAACTTTAGCTTTAATAATTCACGTCTGCCTTCATTTCTAGAAATTGGCCCGTTATGATATTTTGTAATGTGTAGGAATCCATTAAGGGAATCAAAGAAATGTATTAACGGCTTATTAACCGAGTGCGAGGTCTGTACATTAAGGCCAAGGTCTGATATTTCTCTGCACAGACCGAGCAAGCGAGGTTAATAAATGTTTTATTATATGACTGTCGTCTGTGTCAAATCAAATCAAATTTTATTTATGAAGCGCTTTTCATACAAAAGATGCAACACAAAGTGCTTTACAGTTTGGTGTCTTTACCAATGCTTTTGAGATATTTGTGAAGTATGTTCATGTCCGACTTGGTTTTCTGTGATACACGCTGTGGACCGATCGTCATGGTAACGGTCCGAGGAAAAGATATCAAATGTGATACGCGCTGTTCGGACCAATTGTCATGGTAACGGTCCGATATGGGAAAATATCAGACCGGTAATCAGCCAATCAGAGCGCGCGTACGGTCCAAGTCATATAATAAGAGGAATTATCAATCTTAATGAAGGGAAACTTTATCTCCATAAACAGACTACCTATACCTATACTGTTAGTAATGATTTTTTTTCCTTTTGAACCCAGCTGATGCAACGGGATCTGAAATCACAGCAGAAGAGTATTCCACTGGAGTTTGAAATGGCCACGCAGCTGCTGAAAGGAGGCGGAAACGTCTTACAGCAGCATTTCTGTCTAGAGTGACAGTGGCCGTGGTGTTAAAGGAACACACTGCTTTGCTTCAGAATGTGAATTTCAATGTTTCACCTGGAGATTTTATGCTAGAACATTTTGTAAGGAATTTCATTTGTACAGAAAACAAATTGTGATTCTTAGTGCGGTCTTGAGTTACCTTGTTTAATAAACTGTAACCATTTTCTATTCACAATTGTGCAGTCGTTCTCATTTTTGTCATTCTGAATACCAATCAGAAGTCGGGAACCTTTTTCGCTTGGAGAGCCAAAAAAATGTCTCCTACTTACACAAATATTTCTGAGTGAGCCATACACATGTTTTTGCTGTGAATATATATATATATATTTTAAACAAAATCAACACATTTAGAGTGAAATAAAGGTTTCAGAATGTATTGTATTGCTTACAAAATTGTTACAATGAATAAATACAGTGCTTAATGAAGTTCTTACAATGAATTCCAACTGATATTTATCTGTGAGCCAGAAACAATGATCAAAAGAGCCACATCTGGCTCCCTAGCTAAAGGTTCCTGACTCCTGCTGTAAATAGTACAAAAATAGAGGGTTGTGTTGATAGAGATTTTAGATTCATATGCTGATGCACTCAACTGTTTTAAACCTTTTGCTTCCCTAGAGTAAACAAAATATGAAAAATACTAAAAAAAATGTAACAACAAGCTGAATTTAGATTTGTCTTTTTTTTTCAAACTTGACCAGCGCTTTTAGACCCTTTTAGATACTAGTTTAGGATACTTTTAATTCTACTTTGAATCACAATGGCGGGTCATTTTGTTAACAAGGGTTAATGACCAATATAACTATGTATTCTCAGTGTCTTGGACAACACATAGCTGCTAAGATTTCCTCCATCCTGCGGTTGGATACTCAGGTGAATGCATTAGCAGTACTTTCAAGAGAAGTTTTTCTTGATATTGGTTTTATAATTTTTAGATATGTTTTTAATTCCAAAAATATCAATAAGAATAATGAAGGGATAGCAATGAGGGATTTTAAGGACTTTGGTAACCCATGTTTTGTACAAAGGATTGAAAACTAGCTCGATCTGTCGTACGGATGGAACCGTAAACAAACGTGAAGAGGTCCTTATTTTTTCATTGGGGTAAGTTCTTGAAATCACAACTAGACGAGAGTTTGCTGCACATGGATCTATTTTTACAGTTTATATTTTAGGTGCTGCCCTATAAAAGATTAACTTGTGCACGTTTTCCATTCGGTGTCTTTTATTGCTTTCGAATCCAAACCGAATTATGGCTAAATTAATCTTTATTAATTCTTCCTGCGGCCAAATATACGATTTCTAACTCTTTTTATGTCAAAATCATAGAAGGTTCTTTTAATAAGAAAAAAGTGTAAAGAAATGACCTCCAAGAGCATCGAAGTCAATGTATTATATAATCAAAAACTATGAGATAGAAGTATAATAACGCTCTAGTCTATAAACATGTTGGGAGTGAGCTCGGATGCTCCAGGACGGTTTCCAGCGGCTGCGGATGAGAACACGGTGTTGCTAGGTAACAGAGTATAGAACATCACTTCTCAGCTCTGCGCTCAGGCTACAACACTACAGCTATGATCGTACCACACTATACCACCTCGATAATCTGACTTTAGTGGTCAAAGGAAGCAAAGAGCGCAGGGCATGTTATTTCTGCACAGCTACATGTTTAGATTTTTTGCTGAATTATCGATAACAGCCTCAGGAGATGGAGCACAGGGCTTTTGAAGAGATGTAGTGAGTTTGATGAAGCTTCCCATTGACATTGATGGTGACCCAGGATGTGTGCCTATTTTCTTTTTTCTACACGGATCTGTTATTGATCTGTTAGAGGATGATGCAGCTGCAACATGAGGAAGTCAGGCAGCTGCAGCCATGACCATGACTGCTGTGACCACGTGGACATCAGGATGTACAGCGATACCTCCAGTCTGTGAGAGATAGAGGCTTCAGCGGGACCCCAGAGGAGGTAGGAGACTCCTTGCATTATGACATGGCTTTATTGAAAAATAATTTGAGTAAGTAAAAGTTCCCTTTTTAAGCAGTAGATGGCAATAAAGCGAGCTTCTTCCCTGCTTAGTCCCTGGTCATGATGCTTCTTACACATTGTATAGGATTAATATGCAATTATGCAAAGTCTCTGAAAGACATTCTAGTAAATGATATTTTCAGACAAAACTATTTTCAATTGAGACATAAACTTTTTGTATTATTTTTGTCATCACTGCTTTGAAGCACATGTGTTGGAGTCCATGGAGTAGTTAACGATTGATTTATAATGAGAAAAAAGGGGTGATTATTTAAAAAATATTCACCAGTTTCCATTGATTGATTTATTGTTAATCCTATGCACAATTGAACAATATATGTAATATTTTGTACTAAAAAAGTATTCATATTCTTTTACATCTTTCCTTATAATTTGCTAAACCAATTCCAGATATTCTTTCAACTAACTCTCTGCCTGCATGTCAGAATCAGAATCATTTTTATTGCCACGTAAGTAACAATGTGCAATAATGTCTGTATTTTATGCACTCTCCTGTCTCTCATGTTGTAAAATGTCAGGTTTTAAATTTGGGGGTAATACTGGACTCAGACCTAAATTTCAATAGCCACATAAAATCAATAACATCAACAGCTTTTTACCATCTGAAGAACATTGCCAAAGTTAGAAATATAGTGTCCAGGGCAGACTTGGAGATTCTTGTCCATGCATTTGTCTCCAGCAGGCTAGACTACTGCAATGGCCTGCTTACAGGTCTGTCCAAACAGACCTGTAAGCAGCTGCAGTACATCCAAAATGCAGCAGCTCGAGTCCTGACAGGAACCAGGAAGTATGACCATATTAGTCCGGTCCTCAGGTCTCTGCACTGGCTTCCTGTGGCTCAGAGAATAGACTTTAAAACAGCTCTGCTTGTTACAAGTCTCTCCATGGCCTTGCACCAAAATACATTAGTGACATGTTGGTGTCATATGAACCAGCCCGGACTCTGAGGAGCACAGGGACTGGCCTCCTGCTGGTGCCCAGAGTGAGAACCAAACATGGGGAGGCTGCGTTTCAGATCCATGCAGCTAAGATCTGGAACAATCTCCCTGAAAATGTGAGGGAGGCGTCTACTCTGTCAATGTTCAAATCCAGGTTAAAGACTGTTCTGTTTGCCTGTGCATACAACTGGAGGATTTTATCTCCATTTCTAATGCACTGTTGTCATTTATTTATTTATTTTTTTAAATTTCTTGTGTAATTTTGAAAGTTTTAATGGTTTTATTCTTTTGTGTGATTTTAATGTTTTAATTGTGTTTTAATCTTTTGTGTGATTTTAATGTTTTAATTGTGTTTTAATCTTTTGTGTGATTTTAATGTTTTAATTGTGATTCTGGTGTTTGTTTTATGTGATGATTTGTGATGTGGACTGTGAAGCGCTTTGTGTTGCCCTGTGCATGAAAGGCGCTCTACAAATAAACTTTGATTGATTGATTGGTTTTACCCCTCCTCAGTTCACATTGAATTGTACTATTTTGTGTACAACATGTACTATGCATCTCTAAATGTCACCTAAATGTCAGAGTGCCCAAAAGCCCAGGATGTGGCTCACCTAGATCCACATTTCAATAGTGAGTTTTTTCATAATCCTGCAGCTAGTCCAGAAGTATTGATTTAAAAAATGCTGCTTCAGTTCTTCTTATATTTATACATTTATCTTATTTGAGGGGGGTACACTGTTGACTCTGATTTCTACCATTTAGTACTCAACGAGGAAAAAAGCGTTAAAAGAGAAAGTCATATTTTCAGAAAACAAGAAGGTTCAAAGAAGTAGTAACACTGCAACCACAAGATGAACTTTTATAAATGATCTTTGAATAGAATGAAAATGAAAGCAGAAGTAGACATCTGCAAACCTTTTGTTCTGTGAGTGCAGACTGTGCAGTTCTCTTTCCATTTGTGTTCCTTATGGATTTCAAACTGATTACACAGTTGTCCTAGTCTGGCCTTATCCATCCGTACACTCCGCTCAATCATCATCTCACTGTAACGTCTGGGTCTGGTCCCTGTGTTAGCGATTACAATCGGTTGAATTTCGACCGACCAATCAGAGAGCACGGAAGGCGGGTGTTGTAGTTAGTTGTGGGTGACGTCAAGAGTTTGCGTCGAACGGTAAGGTTGTAGTTTGGCGAAGAATGCGATAGTAAAGTAATCTGGTCTGGTTCTATCAAGAAACTGAAGCAGGAGCAAGAGGAATTTTCAGCAAATGTAGTCGCCAGAAAAAATTGTGGCGCTGCTCCCCACGGGCTCTGTTAGCGGCAAAGGAGATGGCTAAAGCTAGGCTAAATGCTAACAACTCAAACGGGCGCATTACATACGTCACAGTAAACTTAGATCCAATCGTTTCAATCTGCAAAAAGAGTTAACCCCTCCCACCTGTTCACGGAGTCAATGGAGACAATCCAGACCTTAGTACGAAATGTAATGTGTACTATGGTGTGGTACGACCGGGCTACAGTTGTCCATGCAATTAAAACAAATATTTGGTCAACAACATCAACAAAAACAAGATTTCTCATTCATGATTTAACAATTTATTGTTAAAAGAAAAGGTTCAGGCTGAAGTTTGACAGATGTAGCCTAATTATATATTATACTAATAAACCAAGCTTGTTTTACCGAGTTTTACCTGTAACATGAGTCCTCTCAATTCCTTTCAATTCACATTAAATATACTTTCTCAATGTTTTTGTCAGAAGTCTCTCCAGTGCGGACATAAACTAGCAGACTATGGATTATGTCATCATTATGTGTCCACCCACATTTGCAGCCACTCATTTGTTTAAATAACGTGGACACCCCATAATCAGCAGAACTAAAAGTATTATTATTGTAACGGGCAAGCTGGGTAGGAAGCAGAGGCAGAAGTATCTTTGGAGAATCAAATAACCAGACTCCGTTTATTCATGAACAGCCCAACACGACCGTTGCTCTCCCGGCCAGT